CCACCATCCATTGGACGCCCCTGGTTTATCCATATATGCAGTCTTAGAATAGTGATTAACGAACATGAGGGTGAGATTATGTAATTCTGATTTTGTGGTAGGATACGCTATAAACAACTCGTTTCAATAGTTCGAGTTGTTGGGAGATGTCCATGTTTGATACTTAAATCACTTCCTTACACACCCATCAAACAAAAGTCAACTAATCATGGGTTTGAAGTTTGCACAGACCCGTAACACCATGTGTTTTAAATACATTTATTAGTATTGGAGATTGTGAGAACTTGAACACATGACCTCAAGGACAAATCAACTCTAATATAATGTCATAAACCAACTGATCTCAATAACTAGGCTTATGTATGATACTTAACCACTTTCCTACACACCCTTCTCAAACGAAAGCCAACTCATGGATGATGGATTTGAAATTTGTATAGGGCCACCATACCATGTGATTTTGAGACAACAATTAATATTATTGTAGATGTCTATTTATGATACTTAATCACTCTCTCCACACTAATTATTAATCGTTATTAACCTAGTCAGCTAATGATGCTGCTGGTTGTGGTAGTTGGTTGACATTTGGATAAAAATGAAAAGAACAGAAGATATGTTTGAAAAGCCATTTGGTGAGCCATACTTAAGAGACCAATTAAGGGACTGGAAAAGCAATGCCAGCTGGAATTAATGAATGATAATGATGATTATAGGATTTGATTGGATTTGCATGGACCAACAAAACATTGTAGCTTCTAGCTAATAGGGTGCAAGAAAATAATTGATCATTGTATGACAAATTGACAATCCTCGATAGAAGAGTCTCCTTTAAGAAAAGATTTCATCGAAAAGATTTAGTTGGGAACGTAATTCTACTAGAGTATGCAATACTTCTAGTAATCTTATAGGGAGTTGCTAAAGGTCGCCCTTAAAATTGCTAAGGGGTCGTTTGGATGAGGAATTCTAATGGATCAATCTGACACAATTGTTTCGTTTTGAGTCAATTGTGCCAGATTGATCCGTTTGGCAGCAGAAAATTTGGATGAAGCAATTTGGGCTGGGGAATTCTGAATTGACTCATTTTGAGCCAATTACAATTGTCTGGGGTGGGGGCAGGTAATCTGAATTGACTCGTTTTAAATGACTCGTTTTGTAAAATGAAACAATTGGTCAAATTGTCTCGTTTTACAATTGATCCATCCAAACGACCCCTAAATAATAAACTCTAATTTTCTAGACTCTAGACCAATAGACCATCATCTCAATTTTTCGAAAAACAACAATCGACGTCTCTTATCCGTGCGACTAAATCATTAGCTAGGACTGTTGTGTTGTAGACTCTATCAGTACGGTGGCCATCATCACATAATCAATAATGCTATCAATTTATATACATTTCCTAAATATAAAATTGTTTCGGTCTCGTGACAGCATGATATACGTACAATCTCCATATTTTTCTTTTCGGTTTCTAGGCGGGTTTAACACAGATCGTGTATGTGCCTCTGGATAATATGATCCAAAATATGATAACTAAGTCAAATATGCTTAGTTGCTTGAAAATATGAACTAGATTTTAGATTGAATGGTCTGAGTCGACTTGGTCAAAGACACACTCACCCGATCCTCGCCTTGTAAATATGATCGCATTATTATTATTATGTATATAAGTCAAGCTACTTAAAGACTAATTAAGGATATCATAATTAATTAGAGGCACAAATGAACGATGAGAGTTTAAGGAAAGCAATCATGGATAGATAGTGTATTTTATTCATTTATTTCGAAGTGACATGACTAGTTTAGAAATATCTTAGTCTTAAACCTCGCTGGTTTGGGAATGTTTGTTTCTGGTTTAGGAGCAACCAGTCCACAATGGTGGGACTAGCCCTATGATCATTAAGTGTGATATTTAGGTAAATGATTAAACATGAAATGATTATCGTAGGGCCAGCAACTACCATTAATTGAAGACTGAGCTCAGTATACATATTTTGAAAGGTTTGCAGAGGATATTAATTGGTTATTGTTGTGGTAAATTATTTCGATGAATACTGCCACGAGATTACCGTTTAATTCAAGCTTTTCCTTTGAACCTTGGAGGAGGGTGTGTGAGTGTTGACACCTAAAATTAATTTGGCCTGAATTAAATGGCGTATTAATTAGTCTCGGCATTTAATTCGATACCGCGGGTAAAAAACGGTGTCGTTTGGAGTCGAGCGGTATCGCGGGAAGTTAAGACGATACCGCGAAACAGGAAAACGGTACCGCAAGGAAGCTCACCGGTATCGCAGCACTGGAAACGACACTGTTTACCAGAAAACAGGATGTGGGCCGCGCGTGTAGTATTGGTGTTGGAGAAGGAATTTTCTCTAATTAATTATTATTATTTGTTTCCTTGTTGGATAGGGAGAAGCGGCACCGCGGAGAGCTAAAACGGTGATGGCCAGATTTATTACTTAATATTTTTAATGGCTTTTTAGCATGGTGTCAATTAGTTGAAAACGATGCCGCAAGAGGAAGAAACGACACCGCGGATTTAAAAACGATGCCGCGAGTGGGCCAAACGATGCCGCAGTAGCTAAAACGATAGTGGTAAATGCAAAGCGGCATCGCAAAGTTCAACAGCATCGCAGAAATAGAAAACGATGTTGTTTAATTAAGAACGGCGCCGCGAAGTGAGAGTTTGACGGCGTGTCAACAATGATGGCCGGTTTAATTAATTAATATTTTAAGGATTAGTTAAGACGGTGTCGCTTTAGCCGAAAACCACATCGTGGGAGATATCGACACCGTCGCGGTACTGAAACGATGTTGTTTAATAGAAAACAACGTCGCAGTGGCGAGAGTTCAGCAATGGCGGATTTCGGCTCAATGTCGTTTTGGCCAAGTTGCCACATGTCCAAGCGGTTTCGCACTCGTGGGAGTTACGCAACAAGGAGGAAGTTACCTGCACGGTTGACAGGAATGAAGACGTGGGAGACAAAGGCACGAAGGCAGTTACTACGACTGCGGGGAGAAGAGCGAAGTATAAAGATTGGGAAGAGAGAGAAGTTCGAGACGGCAAAATCAAATCACAACTGCACCATAGCAGAATTTATCGTTTTCTCTCTAGTTTTCGTAGAACCGCTCTGTCAAAGACCTCCTTTGCAGAGTCGTAGTCGTAGTCGCGGAGCTCTCCAGAGGAACCTCCATAGGAGTAGAGGTAACGTAACTTAGAACCCTCTCGGTTTGGTTTCTCGTTTCTCGTTGAACACCCTCGTTCGAACGTAGTTTGGAGAGGTGGTGAACCGAGTAACGGTTGTTTGATTAGAGGTCAAAGGTGCATCGATCAAATCAATGACGCCGACACCGGCGGCGGATATTTGACGATCGTCTTGGTTTCTGCTTTAATCGATCAAATCAACGGCGCCAACTTCGGCGGCGGGTATTTGACGATTTTTGCTGATTTTGTGTTTGTGCTTACTTGAAAACAGTGTGCATTGAACACGCGAGTTTCGCAAACGAAACAGTGAGGGTTCAATTGCTCTTGCAAAGCTGGTTGAGATTGTGCATGATTGCAAACTTGCTCGGGAGTTGAGAATTAGGAAAGTTATTCTACAATAAGACTAATAGATTGGTAGACTGTCAGCATAAAATTTGGATGGATTAATTTGATATGATTTTTTTTTTGAATTGATATGTTTGAATTACTTCCAATTATTCGGGTATAGATAATTCGAACAGTATCGTTTAAAATGACTGATTTTCTAAAATCAGACGATTGAACAAAATTTTATTTTATGAATTGATCCCGCAAACGTCATTGTACTTTTTTTTATGACCCAGAAACATCCTCACTCACACACCGCTTGAACGATAGCGGAGCGAGACCAAATATAAATGTTCTCCTGCTTGAGCCCTTTGGGCCCTCCACTAAGGTCCCCTTTTAATGCGTCCAGGAATGGCACAACTGAACGCGAAGTGGTTTGGACACAAAACCTCACACTTCTCGATCGAAAATCTCTCGAGAGTTTTATTAGTTGGGCTATATGATCCTGGCGTACTTTTTTTAATATCTGAACACTTCCTAAAAAGCTTAAAATCAAGTTAGAAAACTGACCTCAGAAGCATCAAACATCGAGAGATGGGCTCACGAAAGCTTGCTTCATCCATGAGCTGCAAATGGGCAGGTCTATCGTGCTTGGGCATCTGCATTTTTCAACGGGCCGACGCTCATCCCGTTCATCTACAGAACAAAAATAAAGCGAAGTGGGCTGGACGATGGAGGCCCAAATTTGATCTCCACTCCTCAACTGGGCCGACGCTCTGTTCCCCGTCTCCGATCATTCCCTTCTCCCCCAAAACTAGGGATGTCAATCCAACCCGTAACCATGGATACCCTACCCGACCGTAACCGGTCAACAAGGGTAATTACCCGCTTTGACGGGTTAAGGGGCGGGTACGGGTAATACCCGGTTTCAAAATAAAGGGTAGGGTACGGGTATGGTAATCGATAATACCCGCCCCGTTATACCCGCCCCGCTAACCAAAGTGTCAATTTCCCTTGAGAAATTTAGATTAGCTTGAGAAATTGAGTTTAGCTACCATTATTGATGATGAAGATGTAGACAATTATTATATTTGTGTGGATTGTAGAAGCAAGAACAATTATTATGTGTTTACTATTTTTATTTGTGTGGATTGTTGAAGCTTGAACAATTACAAGTATTGATAATTTTTAATGGACAACAGTATGTATGTGCATATATGTGTATAAGTTCATAGTTTAGGATTCGTACCCATGGTTACCCGAATACCCGTGGTTACCCGGTGGGTAGGGTATGGTTATATAATTTTCATACCCGGTGGTTATTTGGTCGGGTATTTTAGAAGGCTCTACCCGGCGGGTTAGGAGTTGGTACAGGGTAAACCCGCACCCGACCCTACCCAAAACCTTCAACCGACGTCATCCGCCGACAATCTGAAAACTCCGCGACCACATTTCCCGCCAAATTCCCCTGGTCCCCGGCAGTTCTTCCAATCAGATGCAGTATCTCGGCAATGCCTTGCTCACTCGATCCTGCTGCTCCGCTCTCAAGAATCTTCGCTTCTTCTCCAGCTCCTCCGCACGGCTAATTGGAGGAGTAACCGTCAGGGTCGAAGTAGAAGTCAGCGGCCAGTGATTTAGTTAGGGTTTCTGCCGGCGGTGCCGTTTTGCCGCGTCGGATGGAGGCAGAGGTAATTGTAGCAATATCTTTTATGCCGATTTGGTATGGAATTGGAAAGTCAATTGTTTGCAGAAGTCAACTGATTAGAATCGTCATATCGAACTACCACAACGTAGGTGATTTGGAACTTCGGTTAACCTCGACATAATTCCACAGCTACTGGTTTCGGAAGAGATATGGATCTGAAGATCTGGACCATATGGTCATTCTTCTGCCAAGTGGCCGTGGCCGTGGCCGTAACTTCACTGGTGGTGGCTGTAACCTTCCTTTTGAAGAAGAAGAAGAACTCTAAACCCTCAGACGACACCCCCAAATCGTCAGAATCGGAATTATCGGGGGCTGAGCAGCAACAAACATCTTCAGCCCCTTCCTCGTCGCCGGTGGAGTATGAGGTCTTCTTGAGCTTTAGAGGCCCTGATGTCAGGGAAAATTTTGCTGATTTCCTCCACAAATTCCTGGTTCGGTACAAGATCCGAACTTTTCTTGACGACGAAGAGCTGCGTAAGGGCGAGAAGATTGCACCTTCACTCGTCAAGGCTATCGAAGAATCGAAGGTGTACATTCCGGTTCTTTCTCCGAATTATGCTCGGAGCAAGTGGTGCCTTCAGGAGCTAGCTCAGATGATGAAGTGCTGCAATCAAGGGAATGGCCACATCATGTTGCCCATTTTCTTTATGGTGGAGCCTAGAGATGTGCGGCGTCAAGATGGTCCCTACAAGGCAGCATTTCAGCACCACAGGAAGAAGTATGATGCAGAGACGATTGATGAATGGAAGGAAGCTCTCCAGGAGGTCGGGGCGATGAAGGGATGGCACATTACTGAATCGGACGGGTAAAGTATACTGCCTCCTCTATTATAGATATTGATGGACCTAAGGTTATGCTTGCTGCATCTTTGCATCTAAATACAAATCGATAGATGTGTTTGGCTCTTCTCTTAATTAGTATGGCAGATTAAACCTGGAGGAAGTGAACTATCTCGATCTAGATATTTGTTCGGTTGGATATTTCCGTTTGTAAGTCAACCTTTTTTGTTCAATTTTCAGGCAAGGAGCTATTATAGATGAGGTTGTAGCTAAGGTGTGGTCACACCTTACTCAGAATTACACTTTAGTGACGGATGAGTTGATTGGAATTGATTCACATGTAGAAGAAGTGACAAACCTACTAAATTTAGGCTGTGAAGGTGTGAAGATTATTGGTATTTACGGTATGGGTGGTATTGGTAAGACCACTATTGCCAAGGCTGTCTATAATAAGGTTCAAGCACAGTTAGATCATTATATTTTTGTGGAAGATGTACGAGAAATACTGGTGGGACATGATGGTGCCATAAATTTGCAGAGTAAGATCATCTCTGGCATTCTGAGGATTGATTATAAGGTCAAAGATGCTAGTGAAGGAATCCGCGTGATAAGAGAGAGAATCTGCAAGCGCAGGGCTCTCATTGTTCTTGATGATGTGGATGATCGGTTTGAATTTGACCTAATCTTGGGGAAATTGGATGATTTCTCCTCGGAAACTAGGATTATCATTACGACCAGAAACAAAAGGGTTTTGGATGTTCTTCAAGAATTTAAGTTGTATGAACCTGGAGAAATGAGTCCAGATCATGCTCTTCAACTTTTCAACAAGCATGCCTTTGGGACGGATAATCCTCAAGAGGAAGAGGCAATTCTGTCTGAGGAGTTTGTGAAAGTTGCAACAGGCCTTCCTTTGGCACTTAAGGTCGTTGGTTCACTTTTGTTTCGCCAAGACAGAGAATTTTGGCAAGCGAAGTTGATAGAGTTAAAAGACTTACCTCCCACCAAGGTGCAAGAGAGATTAAAAATAAGTTACAACGAATTGAGTTACAATGAAAAACAAATCTTCCTTGATATTGCTTGTTCTTTTATTGGAGAAAATAAAGTATTTCCCCTTTACATGTGGACTGATTGTAAATTTTATCCTGAAAGTGGAATTAAAACTCTCGTGCTTAGGTGCTTGATAAAATTTAATGAGAGAAATGAGTTTTGGATGCATGATCACGTCCGAGATTTAGGCAGAGCAATTATTCATGAGGAAGATAATCAACGTCCATGGAAGCGCAGCAGGATATGTTCCAATGAAGATGCCTTTGACATGTTAGAAAGGGAAGAGGTACTCAATTTGGTGGTTTTGGTGATTTTCTTAATTTATTTTGTTGGCATGTTTAGCAGATATAATCATCTGTTTCTTTTCTTTATTATTATTACTTGATGAATTTGCTTATATTATTTTCATACATAGCATACATTAGAGACTAATTGAAAGACCTGTTATGATTGCTCAAGATGGGCAGATGCCTTGAAGAATTTACCAGTGTCATTTCGTTTTTCAGGGAAGTGATCTTGTGGAAGTTCTTAGAGTTAACATGGCAGATGAAAATCTTCAGCTGACAGATCAAGTATTTAAGAAGTTTTCAGGATTAAGGTATCTAGAAGTGCAACATGGAAGACTGACTGGAGATTTTAAAGGAATTTTACCAAGTATACGCTGGCTTCGATTGCACGAGTGTAGCTCGATTCCCATTGATCTCAATCTGAATAAATTGGTGATTCTTGATATGCATAGTTGTCCAGTGGAAGATGATTGGAGAGGCTGGGGTGGAATTAAGGTTATTAATCTTCCTCTCTTTTTCCCAGATTAACATGTTCAATGATAGTAAATTTCTGGGATAATTTCATATTTGAACTACTGTAATCAATATTTCAACTTATCTGGTACAGGTGACTTGCAAGCTGAAAGCTATAAACCTATCGTTTTGCGGCGAGTTGACAACAGCTCCCAACTTGTCCCACTGCAGAAGTCTAGAGTTCATACATTTTTGGACCTGTTGGGAGATGAGGGGGGAACTACACGTTGGCAGTTTCAAGAATCTGAAAGTGCTGAGCCTCACTATGACTAAAATAACAAAGTTAAACGGTGACTTTGCAAGGCTTAAAAATCTCCAAGAGATTGTTGCGGGTCATTTGACACAACTGCCTGCTGGTATCAGCTGGTTATCCTCTCTCAAAATCTTAAACCTGACATCACTTGTGTCGGAGTTGGAAGAAGTAGCAGCACTCCCCCCAAGTTTAAAGCAGCTAGCCCTCTCGTCTTCCCGGGTTCCTAACCTTTCTGAGCTCAGGGATCTGGAACATCTATCCTTTGAGAGATGTGACCAGCTTGAAATTCCAGGAGATATATGGAAGCTATCCAAGCTGACAACACTGGAGCTTTGGGACTCGTCGTTTAGTAACAGTGGTATTATCGTTTCTGTCTTCCCATCCTCTCTAAAAAGCCTTTTGATTTCTGGCTGTGAGCCTTTGGAGAAACTACCGAGCCTTGCAAATCTGAACAACCTGAAGGAACTGAGATTGATGCGGGTTCAGGTACATGAGGTTCAGGGTTTGGGAGACCTGAGAATGCTGGAAACTTTGGTCATATCCAGTGGTCCGAATCTTGGCAATCTCGATGGGCTTGAAAATCTATTGCTTCTGAAGACACTAAAGGTGGAAAACTGTTGTTTACTGAAAGAACTTCCTAGTTTATCGAATTTGACAAAGTTACAGCTACTAGAGATCAGTTCCTGTCAGCTTCTCTCTGAAATCCAAGGCCTAGGAGAACCAGAGGAATGCTCTTTATCGAGTCTGTACATTATTGATTGTCCCAGCTTAGCAAATACCGGGGGCCTGCTTCAGGCTCTTGGACTGTCGGAAGCACATGATCAGCCTATGGAACAACTGCTGCCTTGCGTCTGGAAGTTAGCCAGATTAAGAAAGCTAGTCCTGTATGCATTCGAGACAGATGGCCACCATCTTTCGTCACGAGAACAATTTCTCGATGTGTCTGGTCTCCGTGATATCGAGGAGCTATTGTTCTTTGGGTACAAACAGTTGACCAAGGTTTATGGGCTTGAGAAATTGGAGTCCTTGAGATCCCTTAGTATATCAGACTGCACATCAGTGAGGGAGTTGCCTGATCTTTCTGGTCTCAAGAATCTCAAGAACTTAAACATTGGTGGCTGTACACAGTTGATAGAGATTACAGGACTTGAGAGATTGGCGTCGTTAGAAGTGCTAGATATGTCAGGCTGCAAGTGCATTAGGAAGTTGCCAGATCTATCTACTCTTAGAAATCTGGTGGAACTTGTTGTTGATGAATGCACACAGTTGTCTGAGGTTACAATACTGAAAAGATCAGAGTCACTGAGATCGCTCAGCATGGTGGATTGCTCATCTATTGCCCAGTTGCCGGATTTATCTGGACTCATGGGAGAGATAAAGAGATAAAGAGAAACTGGGCAATTGGGCAATAGTTGGATTGCTCATCTATTGCCCAGTTGCCGGTTTTTTTCTTCTATTTCTCTAGTATATCTATCAGTCAGTGTTTTTACTAGCTTCTCTGTTGTGTTCTTATACTGCAGCAGCCTTTCGTCAACTCTAATTTTCAGAGAGTCGCTCAATCCAACTGGGCCTTTATGTCTCTACCCAATCCCGCCTCAAGTGTACTGGGCTTGGCCCAAAAGTGATGGACTGGGCCTGGCTTCCTTACATGCCGGTTGGACGATGAGAGGTGAGACGAAAGAGACGGATGTAAAATTAAACTGGTAAGGGAACCGGCGAAGAGTTCGACAACCGGCGAGAATGGAACCGGAGAAGAAGAAAAGAAAGTTCAAGCCGCCGCCGCACAAGTCGAAGTAAGTAATTCTCTGGACTTATTCATTTCGTTTTCCCGACCCGAACCTTATTCGACTCCACTGGTGTGTGCCCTTGTTTTTTTTTTTTGGATATCCCTTTTTTGGTGGGCGAATTCGATGGAGATTTCAGGTAATTAGGGTTTCTGTTCAGGATTGGGAGAGCGAATTGGGTTCTCATTAGTCCTTTCTGATTATTGATGCAGGACTGCAGCATCTTCGGCTGGACCCAAAACGGCAGCAGAGGAAGCAGCAACAATCAGAAGTGGTTCTGGAGTAGGTATTAGTAGTAGTAGTAGAGTGGATCCTTGGATTGAACAGGGTAAGACCATGGCAGTGAGCCAGGCTCAGAAAGATGGGTGCACAGGGAATTACAGAATCATGGATTCCCCATTCGGGAACTTCCTCCTACCTGTCCTCCCAACTCGTGCTGAATTGTTGTCTGGATGATTCTTTCTTTCGTTGTTTGTTTTCTCTGTTGTGTTTTCGTGGATTGGATCCCACCTTGGTTTTGAAATCTAGCTGCAGTTCAGATAAGTCACAAATCACAATCATAGTTTTCTGCCCAGCATTCTAATGAAGCTATTCAGCCTGATAAAGGTGAGTAAATTTGTCGTATCGTCGACCATAGTTGTGTTAGTGTCACACACCATTTGAAAGATCAAGCTGCTGCAGGTCAAGCATGTCATTCTGTGTTCTTCCATGTGAACGCAGTATCATTTTCGAGATCTAACTATTGAACATGGTTAACATCTAGCTGCGGTGCAGATTTGGTTTAAGAATCTCATTCACAAATCACTAGCATAGTTTTCTGCCCAGCATTCTAACAAAGTGATGAATGCCTGATAAGGATAAGTAAATTTTTTAATGTCGACCATAGTTGTGTCAGTGTCACTCACCATTTGAAAGATCAAGCTCCTGTTCTGCAACAATCCCTTGAATTGAAGGTTCATCAGCTTACTATGGCTGGTAGTTGTGAGTTGTAACTAGTTGTTGCTGCTGCTGCCTGCTGCATGTTAAACATGTCATTTTGAGTTCTCCCATGTGAAGGCAGCATCATTTTTCGAGATAATCATTGAACATGGTCTGCACTCCGAGGCGAGGTAGGTTGTGAGGGCGAGAATCCGCCTTCTCTGTAGGTACTTGGGAACTCATTGTGCTGTGCTGTCTCCTTACCTTGGGCAGCTGCGAAGCAACCCTAGGCGTGTTGAAGTCTTGATATGCTTGTGGCTAGGAGGCTTGTTGGAATCTTGATACTCCTGTGCATGGTGGAGTATGCTCGGCGTGTGTGCTATAGGCCGAAACCATGGGAAGGGAGCTTCGTCGGAGATGTATGCTTGCTCCTCCTGGTAGGAGTAGACGTGGTATGAGTACTGCAGTCAAGGAAGGATTGTCCATTTCCGCTACAGAAGAAGCCTTCTCTTTGTTCTTATGTTTCTTTTGAAGCAGATCTTGACCTATTTTCAGCCTATGTAAGATTGCTAGCAACAATTCGATCTCGACTGAACAACTTTCGGTCGCGATCAAGTGCTGCTGTCCGACGAGCTAGTTTTAATTGGAAAAGGCATATCCTTCTAATAAGACTGTGATCTTGCATACTATTAATCTCGACAAATATTTGAGAGACGTTTGTTCTACACAACGAGGGTTAATAACTCTAGAAAGCGAAAATTTCAAAAAGCAATTCATGCGACATGAAAGTGTTCTTTTTATATGTCATTTGTGGATCTAATGGCTGGACGCTAACGATAAAGATTGTGTTAGACGAAAAATAACATGTAGATAGTGACGAACTTATAAAAAATAAGTATGCACAAGTAGCAAAACTCCGCCATTTGATGAAAAAACGAAGGCAGAACAAAACCGAAAATTTTACTCTAACTAAAAGAGAAAGATCCCCGGACGCAACATCCGCTTTAGTGACAACAGGACTCCAGCAAAACCCGATTTCTGTTAATGGAGGAGGTGGTGAGAGCACTTGCCTCCACAAAGGGAGAATTGACGAGCCAGAGAGTCACTTCTGAGTTACACATTGAACATTGCTGGTAAATGGTAAAAGGGCAAATGTCACATTTGGTCATTGGGATTATTAAATCGTGTTATGTTTAGTCATTAGAAAAAATTAATATAAATTTTGGTCACTCGAATTACTATAACAAGTCACTTTTAGTCACTCTCCCGTTAGCCTCCGTCTAACTCCGGTCATTCGAAATACTTTTTTTTTTATGAATGTTACTCGAATTACTGAAACATGTCACATTTTGTCACTCTCCCGTTAGTTTCCGACCAACTCCATTAAAGGAGTTGGACGGAGGCGAACGAAGTAATGGAGTTGGACGGAGGGGAACGAAGAGTGACTAAATGTGACATGTTTCAGTAATTCGAGTGACCAAAATTGACATTAATTTTTCTATAGTGACTAAACATGACATGATTTAGTAATCTCAGTGACCAAATGTGGCATTTACCCAATGGTAAAATGACAGTCTGTTTCCTTGGGTTATACTAGTCTCGTTGAAATGACTCTTCTTATTTGATCTGTCAAACCAGTTTATATTATGTTTAGCAAGTGGTATGGTCCAATTTATTTATATGCCGATTTCAACATTTTATATGAGGAGATGGAAAACCATTAAGACAATCGATATAATCTATCTTAAGAAAATCTACCTATAATCTTTATCCATTTTTATATAACTTAACTTCATTACAAACAAAATGAAAAATAATCATATTTCAATGTAACATTTAGCGTCAACTTCCAAACATTTATACTTGAAATAAATCTCATTTATTCGTATAATAATATACCAAACTTTATAATATTCATCCATTCCCCTCCCCCCCAAAAAAGTGGATAAACTTACCGATAATAAAGGGATAAAGTTTGGATTCAATATATCATCATGGATAAATTACCCACGTAAATTTCTACCTTATTATTGTATTTTTTTTCTTTTTGGATAAGTCACGTCGAAATCGAATGATTAACATATTTAAGACATAAAAATCCTTTTCCAAACTTAATTATTACTCTTATTATCCATTGACTTATCCATTAATCAATCCATTCCATAATTATACCGCTATTAGTAATCCTAATCTGCTAATTAATAATTATATCCAACAGTAAAAAAAATGACTAATTGATCGTCTTTTTTGGTTTTATATAAATTCCCTATTCTGTCTCTTTCTCAGCCCAGTCACCGATATCTTCTCTGCAAGAATTTTCTTCCTCAATTTCCGTTAACAGTGGATGATGATGCCGGCGCCTGCGGCCCAGATATATCTATAAAAATAACGATATTGGCTGATTCCACAAAGCCGGAGCCACAATCTCTTGACGTCACTCCAATTCACGAGGGGATTTTTTTTTTTTTTTGACATTTTGTGGGGAAGGAAGCAGAGCTGAGAGAGTGTTTGGTAGGTGGGTCGGTGGGTGAGAGAATGAAGAAGGAGACGGTGGTTGCAGTGGTGGTCGGAGCGGCGGCGGTTTGCGCTGCCGCTGTTGCGGCGGACGCGTTGGTCCGCCGGAGGAGGCAGACCCGCCGGCGGGAGAAGGTGCGGGCGATCGCGGATGCGTTCCGGCGCAGGTGCGCGACGCCGATCGAGAAGCTGCAGCGGCTCGCCGATGCTATGACTGACGAGATGCACGCCGGGCTACTGTTGGACGGCGGGAGCAAGCTCAAGATGCTCGTTAGCTACGTCGACAATCTGCCCACTGGGTATGACCCAAAACTTAATTTCCTCCCCTGTTGCCTGATTTTTTCTTCTTCTTCTTGTGGGTGCGATTGGATTTCAATTGTTGTTCACTGTTTCTTCAGAGATGAGAAAGGGTTGTTTTATGCGTTGGATCTTGGTGGGACGAATTTCCGGGTGATGAGAGTGGTGCTCGGCGGGCAAGAAGGGCGAGTGGTCAAACAAGAATCGGTGGAGGTCTCCATTCCTCCACACGTGATGACTGCAACCTCAGATGTGAGGATATCCCATTTGGGGAGGTGGGTTTTTTTTTTGTTTGTTTCCTTTTTTGCAAATTCTGATTGTGGACTTGGACTTTTTTACAGGAGTTGTTCAATTTTATTGCTCAAGCTCTAAAGAGATTTGTTGACACGGAAGGTGAAGATATGCGGCCGTCTCCTGGTAGGCAGAGAGAACTGGGTTTCACATTCTCGTTTCCAGTCAATCAGACATCGATTTCCTCAGGCAATCTTATCAAATGGACGAAAGGGTTCTCCATTGATGAGACGGTACAAAAACCATTCACTTGTTTGTTTGAATTTTTATGCTGTAATCCTTTTAGAACATTGTGTTTGGTTGCTGTCACATTTTGAGATACATTTGGTCTTGCTTCCTTTGTGCCTGATCTCTTTTGCTACGGTTGCATTTATGTTTAATTATTGGTAATGGAAGGCAGAATACTGGTGCATCTCACTGACATTAGCTAAAAGTTCACTTCCTAGCTCTCCTTTTGTGTGTTTGTGGGTTTTTGTTGATAAATTTATTTTCCAATCCTGGACATTAGGTTGGACAAGATGTTGTGGCCGAACTGACGAAAGCTATGGAAAGAGTCGGTGTTGATATGCGCGTGGCTGCTTTGGTAAGGGACACATGTTTGGAATGGATTCAGGCAGACAGTTCGTTGAGAATGGAATTTGATGATGTAACTCATAATATTTGTCATTGGTTGACATTTTCATTTTACTGATAGGTGAATGACACAGTTGGAACATTGGCTGGAGGAAGGTATAATAACCCTGATGTCATTGCAGCTGTGATCTTGGGTACTGGAACAAATGCAGCATATGCAGAACGAGCAAATGCTATTCCAAAGATGAAGGGTGCTCTCCCCAAGTCTGGCGAAATGGTCCGTATTAACATCCAATGTTACTTGTTACAATTGTAATTCCAAGTTTTATGGCACTAAAAAGGCAATGCTTTGTGATAATAGGTTATCAACATGGAATGGGGTAGTTTCCACTCCTCGCACCTTCCACTGACAGAATATGATAAAGCCCTGGATATTGAGTCCTTGAATCCTGGAGATCAGGTCAGTGCAACCTTTTTTCTTTTCTTTGTCCCTTTCAAGATCAACCTCATTGACTCTTTCTTATTCAGATAACAGACTGCATTGACTTCATTATAGTTTGAACCATGCTCATAAAGAGCTTTCTTTCTTGCCTTGCAGATTTTTGAGAAGGTGATTTCTGGTATGTATTTAGGAGAAATCTTACGCAGGGTTCTACTAAAGATGGCTGAAGAAGCTGCCTTGTTTGGTGATGTTGTTCCTCCAAAATTGACGTCTCCATTCATCTTGAGGTATGTTGTGTGTCATTTAAGGTTACTTAAGCTAAATTAGAGTCTTTGCCATGAGTTTCGTCATTGATGACTGATTTTTGGTTCTGATACTGTGCATCCAGGACACCGGTTATGTCAGCAATGCATCATGATACATCCTCAGATTTAACAGTTGTTGGAAGCAAACTAAGAGAAGTCTTCGAGGTACATTTCTTATTGAAGTCTTTTCCATGACTTCTTTTTATATCCTTATGGAAAGGTGAAGTTAGAATAGCCAATCCCAGCAATCAAAATTTCTCATGTTGAACTTCAGCATATATAGTCTGCGACACTATCCTTTTATGATAGTTATTACTTATTAGAGTCTAGAGATAGCCAATGGGTTGGTTTGGTGGGTTCACGGGTTCATGAGTTAGGTTAATAGGAGTTCGTGGGGACGTTAGGTGGTCAGATCATGTCATTCTGTTGAAAATTCGACTTGGTTTGGAGGATAATTAGATAATTTGTCATTTAGAATGCAATCAATGCATGTTGGATAAAGTTTTAGAAGTTTGAGTACTAGTAAATTGTACGATAGTGGAGGTGGATCAGTTTGCTAATGTAAAACTATATGGGCACTTAACTGTTTGACTATAGGGGAATTTCGTAATGTTCCTTTCCCTTCTGATTCTGAAGTATGAACTTTAGGATTCAATGGCTTTATTTTCATCATGCAAATCCACAATCTGATATACTTCATATTCTCACTTCCCCTTTGATGTTTTTTTTTTCAGATATCAAATACATCCGTAGAAACGAGAGAGCTAATTGTTGAGCTGTGCAACATAATCGCCACTCGTGGGGCTCGTCTATCAGCTGCTGGTATTTTCGGCATCCTCAAGAAAGTTGGAAGAGACACAATTCAGAAAGGGGACAAGAAGAAGTCGGTGATAGCATTGGATGGAGGGTTGTTTGAGCATTACACCAAGTTTAGAGACTGCTTGAAATCCACCCTAACCGAATTTCTTGGAGATGAAGTTTCAGAGAGCGTAACCATTGAGCTCTCAAACGATGGCTCTGGCATTGGTGCAGCCCTCTTGGCTGCTTCTCATTCTCGATACTTAGAGGCTACTGAAGAATCTTGAGAGAGCATCATGTGTAAGGCAGTAGGTAGACAGATAGAAGGTCAGACCTCCCCTTCAGACGTGTAGAACAATTACTGGAAGCAGCATCAGAATGCAAATGCCTCCCATGAAGCCTGCAATTGTGGCTCCGAGCATTACCATTTCGGTTTATCGTTCTGCATGTTTCGAACAATTACTTATTGAGAATAAAATGTGGGATCGATGTAAACTGTTGAGTTGCCATAGTCAGGCAAAAGGGAAAATTTTGTTTCTGTTGTTTCCGTAACCCAACTATCAAGCATCCTTTTTGTCTTAGTTGGTTACAACTTACAATATTAAAGGCATCTTTATCATCTTCTGTGAGACCAGAAAGGCTGCAAAGTCAGTAAACAGTATTAATAGCAATTAACAGCATGTGAGCATTGCAGATTTGCAGTTGTAGTTTGCTTTCACCAGCAAGGCCATGTTCATCACTTCATTAACACCATAGTACGCGAGGGCACCAACTACTTTTCTATCTGTTTTACCATTGAGGTACAAAAATATTCTTGCAGGAGAAGAAAAAAAAACAGCCCCTCTGGATGAAAAACTAGTTGCGGAAAAGGTATATACAGAATTCACTATATAATCACTGCAGATGAAAACCAGGCCAGCCGGTAAATCACATTATGTCAAATCGAACCCTAAAACTAGGCCATCAAAATTATGATTTTCCAGAATCTGATTGTTCTTCTTCACTACTCCAATCGGCATCGTCAAAATTAGTTTCCGTTTCTTCGGATAGTGCTTCTTCACTACTGCAATCAGCATCTGTCCCGAAATCCCTAGCAGAATTGTAGCTCCTCTTTCCCGGGTCTCTGGAGTCTTGTGGCGGTCTGTCCAATATGGAGATTGGATTCCTACTATTTGGGTCACCATAGAGTGCGATATGCCTGTAGTAGAGCTCGAGTTCCTTCTCGGCTATAGCAATGAAGCGTCTGACGGACTCGAGTGATTGCTCATACTTTGATTTCTCCAGTGCCTGCAAAAAGAAATTGAGGTCTATCAATGGCGGCCAAACATTATTCACACCATACAAGTATAAAAACCATTATTCATGGCGGTGGCAAACAGACTCCTAAAGTCATGATACATCTAAAGAAAATATTAAAACTAGACAACAAGTATCTTGCAAGTGAAACACAGTAATATCAGTGGAAATTTCGTCAATACAAGAACACTCTCTACCTTCTTCTTTGACAATGTGTCAATTGGTGACATAACTTCTGGCTGAACATACTTCTTCCCTCGATAGAACACAATGGTATCATCACCACTTATATGTATAGGGATCCCACCACTCAGCCTCGCAATCTCCTGAGCAATCTCATGAACCTGACCAGGTTTGCATGAATTGCAAATAACCTTCACGGTCTCATGCTTCTTCCAATGCATATGCATATTAAGGATGACACCTCCGAATACTCCTCTCCGGCCAATCGGAACATAATTAGACTTCTTCTGCGCCACCTTCTTGAGGTAAAACCGCTCTTCACCAGTGAGCTTATGCGGTCTAACCTCGGGACCTTGAGCTTTGGGAACTTCATACCTCTGCAGTCTCTCAATTAGTGCTGCCTCCTTCATTCTTGCCTGCATATTCATTCAAAAGAATTAAGAGAACCAAACCACTAATGACATTCATGATACCAAATTATAAAGTCATCATCTTTCCCAAACGCACATCGACATAGAATCATTACTTGTTTACACCCACCAAAGCAACATCAAATATGAAACACAAACAAGTTTGGATCCAAGACCCCATATGGAAGGAATTCAAAGAACAAAACCCAAAATGTTCAAGCCATTGCCATCAGGGATTTTTGAAGGATAAAAGGGAAGGGAGATCAAAACTCACCCGCCTAAGCTTGTACTTGATTCTCTCCTCTGCATTAGAAAATCTCTTCTTCCTATCCCTCTTCACGGTGAGGGTACGAGGGTCTTTCCTATTAGCAGCTTTTCTCCTGTCCTTTTCCCTCTTCCTTTGCAGCTTTAGCCTCTTCTTGGTCAGCCATTTGTCCTTTTTAGGAGGATCAACCTCACGAGTCTCAAATTTGGGCTTCCCATCCGATATCACCAGGTTCACCGACCCGTAGCTACTCAAGTATCTGAATTCCCATGAATTACGTCGGGGTAAACAGAACCCAATTAACGCTCTGGATGGAGATGAAAAGGGTTGGAACTTCTGGGGTTGCCAGATCGGCTTCCTGTGAACAAAATTGCTTTCTCTTGGGGTAAAATTAACAGAGCTGAAGAATCGAAGTTGGAACCAGAGTGAGGGTTATTAGTTATTACCTGAAGCGCGCAGGGTGAGAGAAGGGAGTGGAAAGCAGCCGAGACGAATTAACAACATGGGTAACTGAAGAACAAGCACAGCCATAAGCTCTTCGCAGGTTATGAAACAGCATTATGATAGGTTTTGTGCGATCTTCACCAGTCGAAGAAGAGTATTGGGGTTCGTGGAGCAGGAGAAGACCCAATTGCTTGCCGTGAAACTATTACAGGGTAACTTGGAGAATCGCAAAGCCTTGAGTGAAGTGGTCTCACAAACTTGGAGAGGGGACGGGATTCTCCCCCATTTCATGTTTTAAACCGTCGACACTCGACAGAGAGTGAGAGGAGCGAGAGGGAGAGGAGCGGCGAGCCGGCGAGGGAGAGAGGGCAGGGGTCCGGGAAAAGGAAGAGGAAGGTAGGGGTGTTATCGTCGTTTAGACATACTTTCCACTTTTCTTGTTCTCTTTACTAGCTTATCACCCGGCTCATTAGAACGAAAGTAGTCACGAAAATGGATACTCGGGCTCGAGTGGAAATTGGTACGGTATGGATATCTCAATACCAAATATCGAAATCCCGAATACCGAATTATATTCGAAAGTCAATCTCAATTTCAATCTCTAAATAATTTGGGTATCACAATCTCAATCCCTAAATATTCCGGTATCCCAATCGGTACTTCGGTATCCCAATCGGTATTATCGAATACGAAATAAATTACATTTGAAATAAATAATTAAATATAAAAATTAGGTTTGATTGTTTAATTTAGGGCAAAGGAATAAGCAAAGAGTTTTGAGTTTGCCTCATGGTTGTCAAACCGGTCTCATGTCGGCCGGTTCAACCGGTACCGGTCACCCAACCGGCTGGAAAGAGGTCGGTATTTAGCTGTGGTCAAATCCGGTCAATACCGGTCAGACCCGGTCAATTCCGGGAATTCCGGCCGGTTAGAGCAGAAACCGGATTTCAATGTTACACATATTTTATCCAAAAATAAATGCCCTCCTTCAGATTTGAACCATGTACCTCATGTTCATTTTAAATTCTCTTATACACCAGTAGACTACAAGCAACTTTGTTATATATATTAACCTTATATATTATATATTTAACACTAAATTTTACACAAATCATTATAAACATTAATAAAATTCATTTTATATACTTTTATTTTTAAGCATCTAATTGTTTAGTATTAGTTACCAATTCTTAGCTATAAATTATTTTGTGTGAAATAATTTTTCTAATTGCTTTTTGATGACTAATTTATTTGGAATTGAGGATTTTCATTTGGTCACATATATTTTATTAAAACCGGCACAACCGGCGTGAATACTGGTTGTACCACGGTCGGACCATTCCACTTTCAAAACCGGCACACCGGCATAAACCGGTTTGACAACCTTGGTTTGCCTAGAGCTAGGATATGGATTAGGAGAATGAAAGAAAGGTGACATCTCAAGTTCTTGTCATTGGTAATCTTTAATTTGACGAATTGAAGGTTGAGAGACGAATAATACTAGTGTTTGTTTTTTGGTGTTATGAAAATAACAAGTTATTTGGTGAGAGATGAGAGTGACTTGAATTCGAAAGTCAAAATTGAGTTGGATAAATGACACTCTTGGTGGTTGGGGGTTGTGTAGTAGTGAATGAGAGAGTCTAGTTGAGAGGATAAAATACACACTAGCTTATATTTCGGTATTGATCGGTATTTCGGTATATACCGATCTCAATCCCGTAATCCCTAATACCGAATTACAATTGAAATTCAATCCCAATCCCAATCCCAAAAAATAATACGTGTATTCGGTAATACCAAATATAGACAAATTCGGTACGGTATTCGGTATATCCCAATTACCGGTACCAAACTTCTAGCCCTACTCATTAGGTCAACAACATCATAATAATATGACTTTCAGCTCTGTACTTACTATTTTTTAATGGGTTATAGGTATAATATGCCCCTCTATTATGACGTTTTATCAAACATGCTCTTCTACTATTTTTTACATCAAACATGCTCTTGTATTTTGGAAAACTTATCAAACATACCCTTTTGTTAAAATTTTCATCCAAAACCGTTAACCAAGACCGAACTTTGGTTTGGGCGACCCAAATATCTAAAATATCCCTAATAATTCCACTTTAGAGTTTTTTTATTCTTTTGTATAGCCAAATAATTCAAATAATTTCACTTTGACGAGACCTAGAAAAATAAAACAAGGGTTAAAACTGATATTTCCCCTCTCATTTATCGATGTCGGGTCATCTAAATCTCGGTTTAACCATGATTGACGATTTTTTCAATGGAAATTTCAACTAAAGGGCATGTTTGATAATTTTTCCAAATTACAGGGGCATGTTTGATGTAAAAAATAGTAGAGAGGCATGTTTGATAAAATGTCATAGTAGAGGGGCATATTATACCTATAACCCTTTAATGGGTATAAGTCAATCGTCATGTAACCTCTTCATTATCACGATTATTATCATTCTCGACAACAAACACACTGATTGGTCCTCTCTTACTCCGCAATGAAAGAAATGATCAGTATAATAGCCTTGTAAAATTTAGAGTACCAATGGAGATTCCTCTCTTCTCCTTGGTGGCTTCGTCAATAAAATGAGATTGGCGGCTATCTCTACCAACGCGTTCTACATGATCATAGTATGGTCTTTTGTATGAACCGTTTCAGCCTTACACATTTTTGCACAGCAACTCCAAGAGCTAACTTGGTGGGGCTCTTCTCTAGGTAAACATCTTGTATCAACATCAAGCATGACAACAAAAATTGTTTTGGTCGAGATACTATCAGAATCTTGTATTGTTCTGAAGAAGTCTAAACCACAGCTGTTTGGCGAGCAAAGCAGCGTTAAAACCATGCAGATCCCTAAACCCAAACTTCCCTCCGCTTTAGTACACACTAACTCCTCCCGCCTAATTCAGTGAGCCCGCCTCTATGAGCCTCGTTGCCCCCAATAGAAATTTGTAATCATACTGTGAAGTGTGAATCTCATCCAGAATACCCTCCGGTACTTTGAAGACAGACATGTCGTACGTAAGATGAGCTTGTGCCACTGACTTAATTAAAATCTCCCTGCCGGCTATCGAAAGCATCATCTCCTTCTATCCTTTCAATTTCAGTCGCACCCTCTCCTTCAAGCCATTAAAAATTTCCTTCTTCGAGCATCCCACCACTTTCGGCCGGCCCAAGTATTTGTCATGTTTTTCAACCATCTTCATCCCGAGGATTCCCCCCCCAACCGTGAGTCTTTGATGTGGTTTCACATTCTCGCTGAACGAGACTTTGGATTTCTGAAAGTTCACCATTTCTCAAAAGTGTTAGTATCCTATAACTATTAGATCCGAAAAATGACAAGAGCATAACTTAAACCTCCGAGTTAACAAAAAGGATCAATAGTAATACCCTAGTTTGGCCCGAAGTTTGGTTTAAGTGTCAGTTTTGGCCCGAACTTTCAAATAATACAGTTATGGCCAACTTTTGAAAATAATAGATAGATTTAGCTCGAAGTTTGAGTTGACCATCAATACTTCTGTTAAATAAAGGCTGATTAGGCGTTTCTGTTAACGAAAGCTGACAAACTAACGGAGAGTGACCAAACTTGAAATATTTAACTAATTCTAGTAACCATGAATAGAATGAAATATTTTAGTGGCAAACGTAAAACCTTTTAGTAATCGAGTGAACCAACTTGCAATTTACCCAATACTTCTATACAGCAGATCTAGTAAACGAACTTGCAACTTAACCCAATACTTCTATATATCAAAACTAGTTAATGTTGGCTATGAACGATGAGCACTAAAGAATTTATCTGCAATTGTCTTAAGGGTGTACTGTCTATTTGCTTGAATATGCCGATTAGAGTCTTTGATAGTTTTGAGGTTACACTGTATCTTACCATACAACATTGCGTTATTATGTTTGATTGATTATGGTGCTCTCCGAAAACGGTTATCCAAAATACAATCTTTCCCAAACTACACCAAATCCCTTTCTGCAATATTTACACCCATAGTCTCACACTTCACACTGGCAAGCTACCGTCGCCATTGGAGTTCTCAAGCAGAGGGCTCTCGTCTACCATCCTTTCACTACCACTCTTCCCTCCTGAACTCCCTTCTCTTCTCCATCTCTCCAACATCTGCACCACCTCCTTCATCGACGGCCTGCTCGAGGGCAATGCGGTCGTACACAGAACCCCAAGCTTAAAAAGACTCACCATTTCATCCAAGTGACACTCTTCCTCCTTCACCTCCTCGTCCAAGAGATCACCTATCGCCTTCCCTTCCTGGACTCGGCCCCATGCCCACTCCGCAAGGCTTGTCTGCATCGTCGTCGTCTTCTCCTCGCCTCCCTCACCGTTCGCCTGTCTCCCTGTCGTCAGCTCCAGCAGCACCACGCCAAAGCTGTACACGTCCATCGCCGCATTCACCCTCCTCGTCTGCCCATACTCTGCACTTTGCAAGAAGCTTTTCGTTAGTCATGTTGGTAAAAAAAACATGTTAGAAGGTTGGATACTGAATTGTAAGATAGAAGAGATGATTTGGTTTGTTAACAGGGGAAAAGAACCAGCGGAGTGTATACCAGGTGCCATGTAGCCAAACGAGCCAGCCACCGTGGACAAAGTAGCAGCAGCTTCTCCACTGCTGCTGCTGTTGTTCATAATCATCATCATCATCTTGGCCAGGCCGAAATCGGCGATCTTGGGGTTGAATTCGGAGTCCAGGAGGATGTTGCTGGATTTCACGTCTCTGTGAATGATGGAAGGCACACAGTCATGGTGCATGTAAGCCAGACCTTGAGCCGCACCTATGGCGATGTTGAGTCGCTTTGGCCAGTCCAACGCTGCCCGCTTAATTGCCCCGGAGTGCAGCCACCAATCCAGGCTGTGGTTCTTCATATACTCATAAACCAGAAGCTTAGAATCGCCCTTGGAAATGCAGCACAGAAGCTTGACTATGTTGGTGTGTCTGATCCCACTCAGGGTCTCCACTTCTGCCATGAACTCCTTGGCCAGTTTGTTATCAATATCATTCCAGATTCTTTTCACTGCAACAAAATGGTGCTGACGATCCACAGCAACCCGATAAACTTTACCTGAACCACCCATTCCAATCATATTGCTTTCTGTCAACCCTGCAAGGATGTTATCTTCCGTGAAGTTGAGCTTCTGGAACGAGGTGAACTCCCAGGCGGAATCCTGTACATGTTTCCCTCTAACCTTCTTGATGGCGAGAAATGATGATATCACAGATACCACGACGACAACTGCTGGAATGCTTAATGCCAAGGCCAGGATGTGGGTCGTGGTACGCTTGCTTGATTGAGAAGGTCTTGAGTTACAGCTACGGAGGTTCAGGTCAGAGTTGCTTGAACACAAGCCAGGATTGTTCAGGAAGCTAT